TCTGAGGCCTCACTGCTGAAAACATTGATACAATGTTGCAGTCCAGCTGGCTTTCAGTCCGGCTGGTTTCTGGGGTTTTGTTTAGCTTCTTATTTGCAACATAGTACATAGTTGCTTAGAGTTGCAGCTGAGAGGCCGGCAAGTTAGGCGGGGAACGTTGGAGTCCGCAGTCACTGAAGCAAGCAAACCTCCCTGCTCGCTTCAGTGCATGGCTGCCGGCCGCCATCTTGGCTGACAGTTAATTTGCATATACTCACTGATTAGCCAAGGAAAAGGGTAGGGGTCGTACGCTAATTACCATGTTTCTCTTTTATTAGTGTAGATGTTTCTCTTTCACCCTTGTAATTTTCTTTGCTCTGTAGTCTACTTTATTTAATTATTCATATAGCCACTCATGATTTCTTTTTTTTATTAATGTTACCAATATATACAGTGGAATCTTAGTTCTTGAACTTTATTCATTCCAGAAGGCTGTTTGAGAAGCGATTTGTTAAAAAACCAAATCATTTTCCCCTTAGAAATAATGTAAATTGAATTAATTGATTCCAGACCCTCAAATGATTCCCAACCTTTCTTCTTTATATATAGTACATGTCTTATTTATATACAGTACATGTCTGTTAACAAACTTCTTTTCTTAAATTTATTGAACCACCCCCTACCAGCCTTAAACTAATCACTTTCAGCACTTGTTCCAGGGGTGTTTTTCAAGAAGTCAGTAGGGGCATCTTCACTTTTTCACATGTCACTGCCTCCAAAATGCTGTCACCAAGTGCTCTTCATTTATACAAATCAACAACAGTTTTTCTACCTCTGTAATTGTCTGTGATCATTGTTTCTTTCACACTTTTAACAACATGATGAACTCAAGTTTTAAAATTGTGCTAATTGTCCATTTCACCAGCAACAACAGCTGGAGAGAGAGAGAGAGAGGGGGAGAGGGGGGCGGGGGGGATTCACAGCACAATTTCCTGAGATATTAACAACACAAGGTTTGGTTGTAAACTCTCTCATACTGGCCCATTTTCTCCTTTGTTTGTGGCCTATGAGATGTTTGTGTCATGCTTATGTATCAACATGAAAGGGTTGTCAGATGGAGAACCAAAGTTAAAACAAAGACAGTTTTTTCCATGAACAACTTGGTCAAGAACAAAATTGTTTGAGATGGGAGACATTTGTGAACTGAGGTTTGACTATATTTTTCTGTAATCTTTTACTTTCAACCTACCTAACTGAAGTGAGTGTCTTATAGATAGTATATATCTACTTTGCCAACCTCTGTCTTTTTATTGGTGTTTCTAGGTCATTATATCTAAAGTAACTATTGATTTGTTAGGACTCAAGTCTTCCATTTTATTATTTGTTTTCTGTTCATTTTCCCTATTTCTCATTCCTCTGTCTTTTCTTGACTTCCTGTGGCCTGCTAGAACATATTTTAGGATTTCATCGTGTTTTATTTATGTATTTTTTAAGTATAGCTTGTATAGTTTCCTTAGTTGTTATTTTAGACATTAAAATATTTATTAAGAGTAATTGCTGCTACACTTTGGACATTTATAGTATGCTAAGCATTGTAAAAGAGCTTTGTAAGCTTTTTGTCTGTTTAATATTTACTAAAAAAAAACAAAAACAAAAAAACACGAAGCCCAGTGGTTAGAGCATAGGCACCTAGACATAAGGGTCCTGGTTCGATTCCTGATCAAGGGCATGTACCTGGGTTGCAGGCCCAAAGCCAGCCAGGTTGGGTAGCCCATTGATTTGTCTCTTACATCAATGTTTTTCTTTCTCTCTCCCCGCTCCCTCCACTCTCTCTCAAAATCAATGGAGGAAAAAATGTCCTTGGGTGACAATTAACAAAGATTCTGGGATTTTTTTAATGCTCACCTGAGGATATGTTTATTGATTTTTAGAGAGAAGAAGGGAGGGAGAGAGAGAGAGAAACATCAATGTGAGAGAGAAACTTTGATCACATTGATCAGTTGCCTCCCGTATGTGCCCTGATCGGGAGTCAAACACAACCTTTTGATGTACTGGATGATGTTCCAATGAACTGGGCCACCTAGCGAGGGCAGAAGGTAATGTTTTAACTCTCATTTTATGCCTAAGGAAACTGATGCTCAGAGAAATTAATTAATTTGCCCAGTCACAGTTATTAAATTGGTGGGCAAACCTAGCTCTGACTTCAAAGTTCATGCCTTTAACTGTAATACTATATTACATTCATGTTAATCTTATGATATAGGTCTTACATTCGAAAGTATAATGTAATGTATTTTGTCTCTCATTTTTTAGGTTTTGATGATGATGGTTCAGAATTTCATGAACATATATTTCTGGATAAACACCTGGAAGATTTTCCAAAACAAGGACCAATTCGTCACTTCATGGAGTTAGTAACCTGTGGCCTTTCCAAAAATCCATATCTGAGTGTTAAACAGAAAGTGGAACACATCGAGTGGTTTAAAAATTATTTTAATGAAAAAAAGGACATTCTAAAAGAAAGTGACATACAGTTCAATTGAAAACCATGGAAATTTGTATTTCAAACTGTTGGAAATTGATATTATAACTAAATAAAAGAATTTTAAAAGAAGTTTACCTATATTGTAGTAATTATTGCATCTGATTTGAATGGAATAAATGTCAAATTACTTAGAAATATACAATGGTAACTGAAAAATATTGCATGAAAAGAAATATCAGCATTCATGGATTCAACTAGTAATTCTTTTAAAAAAGAATATCTTAGAATTAGTAATAAATTTAAAACAACTTTCTCTAACTTTTTCTTTTCATTCAGTGATCAGACTTCTTTGAAACACAATTATTAGCCATATGTATGATGACATGAGAGGACTATAACAGTTGAGATGATTTACAGACAGTTTTACATGCATAATATATATAAACATTTTCCATATTTGCATATATGTATTCTTATATGTTTCATACAAAAGTAAGTATCCTTGCCAAAGTCTGCATCACTGTAGAGAAATGACCTTGTAGAAATAAAGCCCTTAATTCTAATTTCTTCTTGTACTTTAGGTCTTAATGCCAAAGTTAGAACTATTTAGTTTTTATTAAGGTACCTGGCATTGTCATTCAAATTCACAGATTGAAGATTAAAAAAACAAAACAAATATAACTCAAAACAACAATTTAGTGACCCCAGGCTAGTAGTGTTTCAGGTCCTGGCACAAGCAAACAAAACCCCAGCAGAAACCTAGGCTTCAAATTACAAACAATGAAACAAAGCACCGTGAATGCACACCTGCAGAAACAACAAACAACAGAATGAAACTTATGGAGCCTTTAAACATTGGGCTTACCATATTCTGAGTGTAAAGTATGTGTCACTTGGAATAAAATTCAGAGCAGGAGACTGTCCAAAGAGATTTTTTAAAAATTAAAATTAGTGAAGGAATATAACAGATTAGACAGGAAATAGATCTGAAGATATTATCCACATGCAGAAAGAGAAGCAAAGAGAAAAGAAATGTGAAAGGGGTAGTAATTAGTGTAAGCAAATAATCAGATTTCCATGAGAGAAAAGAAGAAATGGGTCAGAGGCTATCTTTGGACAGTTATTGGGTGAGAAGTTTTTACAATTTATGAAAGACATCAATTCACAGTTAAACGATCGTCTTTTGGTCATTTATAGTTCTGTGCCCAACAACAGCAGAATACATTCTTTTCAGATACAGTGGAACACTTAAAATTTACTATTGTAATTTTATTATATAGGATATATATGCATATATAAACTGGTATGCACTGAATAACTTGAACTCAAAATATACAAGGCAAAAAGTGACAGAAATATAAAGAATTAGACAGCCCACCTGGTGTGGCTCAGTGGTTGAGATCAACCTATGAACCAGGTGGAGGTCATGGTTTGATTCCTGTTAGGGCACATGCCCAGGTTGCCCTCCATCCCCAGTGCAGGGTGTGCAGGAGGCAGCCAATCAATGATTCTCATCATTGATGTTTCTATCCCTCTCCCTTCCTCTCTGAAATAAATAAAAACATATTAAAAATAAAAAGATCTGACTTTTTCTTTTTTTAAAATATATTTTTATTTATTTCAGAGAGAAAGGGAGAGGGAGAGAGAAATAGAAACATCAATGATGAGAGAGAATCATTGATCAGCTGCCTCTTGCACGCCCCCTACTGGGGATTGAGCCTGCAACCTGGGCATGTGCCCTGACCAGGAATCGAACTGTGACCTGGTTCATAGGTCAATGTTCAACCATTGAGCCACACTGGCTGGGCTCTGACTTGTTCTTAAAAAAAATAGGTTTACCATTATGGTGAGATATTTTAACGTAATTGATGAGTTAAGCAAACAGATCAGAAGCTTTGACATACCTAATTAACAATTCACCCTAATAAAAAGACTTTTTTTATATATGTTATATCTGTTCTCTTAATCTTCATTGTTGAGAGTATTACAGATATCCCCCCTTTTCCTACCATTGCCCCCCTCCACCTGATATCCACCCTGCTTCAGGCCTTCACCCCCCTATTGTCTGTGTTCATAGGTAATGTATATATGCATATAAGATCTTTGTTTACACCCCTCTCGCCGCTTCCCTCTGAGATTCATCAGTTTGTTCCATGTTTCCATGCCTCTGATTTTAATTTATTCATCAGTTTATTTTGTTTATTAGATTTATTCATTTATTTTTATTTTAGATTAAATTGTTGATAGATATGTATTTATTGCCATTTTATTGTTCATATTTTTATCTTTTTCTCTTCTTCCTCTTCTTTCTTTTTATTTTTCTTCTTCATCTTCTTCAAGAATACCCTTCAACATTTCATGTAATACTGATTTGGTGGTGGTGAACCCCTTTAGCTTTTTCTTATCTGTGAAGCTCTTTATCTTCAAACTAGAGGCCCAAACACACAAAATTTGTGCAACGGGCTCAGCCCTCACAGCCCTGGCTGCTGCCTCAGCCCTCACGGCCCTGGCTGCCTTGCAGCCCCACCCACTGGTCGTTCCAGTAGGTCATTCCGCCATCTGGTCTAATTAGCATATTAGCTCTTTATTAATAGGACTAGAGGCCCGGTGCACAAAAATTTGTGCACTGGTGGTGGGGGGTGTCCCTCAGCCCCACTTGTGCCCTCTCACAGTCTGGGACCCCTCAGGAGATAACGACCTGCTGGCTTAGACCCACTCCCGGGTGGCAGAGGGCAGGCCCAATCTCTAGGTGCAGCCCCTGGTTGGACTCAGAGCAGGGCCGATTGGGGGCTTGGGGCGCCGCCCCCTGTCACACTCAAGGCAGGGTTGATGGGGAGGTTGCAGCACCACCCCCTGTCACGCACAGAGCAGGGCCGATCAGGGGGTTGGGGAGCTCCCCCCTGTCACGCACAGAGTAGGGCCGATAGGGAGGTTGTGGCTCCACCCTGTCACACACAGAGCAGGGCCCATGGGGGGGTTGGGGTGCCACACCCTGTCACACACAGAGCAGGGCCATCAGGGTGTTGGGGAGCTCCCCCCTATCAGGCACAGAGCAGGGCTGATCAGGGGGTTGGGGTGCCTTCCCCTGTCACGAACAGAGCAGGGCAGATAGGGAGGTTGTGGTCCCACCCCCTGTCACACACAGAGCTGCAGGGCGATCAGGGGGTTTGGGCGCTGCCCCCTGTCACGCTGCTCCAGGGGCCAGGAGGCCTCGCAGCTCCGCTGATCCCAGTGCTGGGAGGCATATTACCCTTTTACTATATAGGATAGAGGCCTGGTGCACGGGTGGGGCCCGGCTGGTTTGCCCTGAAGGGTGTCCTGGATCAGGGTGGG